AGGCCTCACCTAGGGTTGCCAGATGGTTTCAGAAAAAATACCAAACAAAAAAAAAGGGATCCCGAGAGTTATTAGGAAAAAAAAAAAAACAACAACAACAACAACAAAAAAACCCACCAAAAAAATCTTGCCTCCCTGCGCAGGGCCTCACAGCTCCCCTGCGGAACCCGGTAAGCACCCGGGATTTTTGCCTCCTGGCCAGGAAAAAAAAAAAATCAGAAAGTACTGGACATTTTAGGTGTCCGATATTTTCTGATTTTTTTTTTACCAGACAGGAGGCAAAAATACCGAACTGTCTGGTTCAATACCGGACACCTGGCAACCCTAGTCAACTGCTGTACTGTGTCTAGTTCTGGACACCACATTTCAAGAAAGATGTGGAGAAATTAAAGTAGGTCCAGAGAAAAGCAACAAAAACGATTAAAGGTCTAGAATGCATGACCTATGAGGGATGACAAAAAATTGGGTTTGTTTGGTTTAGAAAGGAGAAGACTAAGAGGGGCATCATAGTAGCTTTCAAGTACCAAAAAGGGTGTTGCAAGGAGGTAGGAGAAAAATTATTCTCCTTAACCTCTGATGATAGGACAAGAAGCAATAGGCTTAAATTTCAGCAAGAGAGGTTTAGGTTGGATATTAGGGAAACCTTCCTAACAGTCATGGTGGTTAAGCACTGGAATAAGTTGGTTGGGGATGTTGAGTAATCTCCATTACGGGAGATATTTAAGATAAAGTTAAATAACCAACTGTCAGGGATGATCAAAATGGTGCTTGGTCCTTCTGTGAGTGCAAGAGATTGGACTTGATGACCTTCCAAGGTCCTTTCCAGTTCTGGTATTCTATGATAATCAAAAACCCAAATGTCACACAGTTCCCTTGACCATACACATGTTAGTTACAAAAAAGGTGAGTATGACAGAAATAATTATTGTGATAAACTGCTGTCAATGATTTACTATATGCAACAATTAGTTCAGCCTAATCTAATGAAAGACTTGGAGTCATGAAGGGATTTATAGATTTTCCTTCCAGTGTAAATCTCTCTGCTTACGCACCACAATAATCTAGCAGTTTAAGTTTTACCAGAATGGAGTCATATTCCCCACTTCTACAATCCCAACCCTAACCCACCTTCCTCAAAAAATTATCATAAGGGGAGAGAAAAAACTTGATCTATTAAAACATTTTTAGATG